TCCTATTATGAGATCGTGAGCACAAGACGAACCCCTACCATGAACACAAGAGTTGCCGCTGTCAAGAGTAAATGGTCAGCCTATATAACACAAATTGAGAAACTTCAAGAGAAGTTTCCAGATCATCCTCCTCCGCATATACCCACTTTAGATGAGGTACACCAGATGCCCATCACTGACCCTTTCTGGAATATCGGCAATTTGACTCACCCTGAAGAGGCGTGGGCAGTAGACCATGCAACTCAAAGGGGAATAGAAGCTTACCGCACTGTGCGTAGCTGTGAAGAAGAGTTAAGAAGGGTCGCACGAGAGGTGCGAAACGTGGTACTCCACTCTCTTGAAATGGAGGCCAAGTTGAATAACCTGGCGGCTTTGAGTATGATACGTATGTATATTCAACTTCATTTGCCTCAGTACTTAGCTATCTAATGTGTCCTACGTGTGTTGTTCTTTGTGGCATTGCAAAGCAGCTTATGAAGCTGGTTTTCCAAATGGCACTCGGCCAATTGAGCTAGTTCAAGCCGGTGGTATTCTTTCAAAAGAAGCGTGGCTTGAAAGTCAAGAGGTCCTTAAGGCCGTGCACAACTCACTATCTTGTACATACTGCCGTAGGTGGATGGTTTGGGATGACGAGATCCCTTTATTACTTGATAAGACAAATATTTATTGTGATAATCCAGCAGAAGCGAATGTGTCTCTTGCACAACACTGGAAAGGTTTGATGGATCGGAACCGTCAGCAATGGGTATGTATGATCAACGGCAATCCTGTGTTTGCCAAAGGCCTTGATGAGGAGGACTTTGAAGAGCACCGGCTGAATAGGGACGATTTAGGTGAACCGTATCAGAACGCAATGGACTTGGCATTTATGCCACCGGATATACTTGTATTCTAGTCTACTGTCCTTGTGTTGAATGAGTCTTACATGCTGAGCTGAAATTAATGTCTTGTGTTGAGATTGCCAAGTGAGACCGTTTGCTAATACCCAGACACATCTGCTTGTTTTAACTTGCGATGAGGCTGATATAGCCAGACACATCTGGTATTTATTTTGTATATGTAGAATTGACTTCATATCTCGGTGTGTAAGTCACCAGATGCATCTGGTTGATTCAGAAAGTGGAAGTGACCAGATGTGTCAGTCCATATCCAGATTCATCTGGTTTGTTGTCTCGAGTCATGAGTCAGATGGATCATACTGGATGTAGTGTACAGAAGCAGATCCATCTGCTTGTGAAAATAACACGTAGTGTATTTGTAGCTAGATGCATCTGGATATGGGTGTGGCGGATGTATCCAGATGTGTCTGGTTACTTTCACCTTTGATGTGTTGCGGATGTAGGCAGACGGGTCTGGTGTACTGGTACATATCCAGATTCATCTGGTATTGTACTTGCTGTGCAGAGTTACCATACAGATGAATCTGGTTGTGAAGATGTGTATATGGCGTGTAAAGTCAGATGCATCTGCCTCTGCATCTGAATTTTGGCACTTGGATCCTGAAATCTTTCAACTGAACGTAAAACATGTTTCCCGCATACTTGAGTGGTTCAAAATCAGAAAATAGACGAATTTGAGAGTGAGAAACAAAAATCTAAAAGTACAACTTGGTGTTGTGCCTTTAAGGTGATCGTCTGACTCGCCTGCAAGCATCTGGCAGGTTTCATCGGCAACTAGCCGACCGTACAGTATAAGGTTAGGGTCGGCTACATACCGAAGCATCTGTACTTCTCAGGTGCTGACGAAGACCACGAGACCCTTGACGTCAACCACGAGGTCAACCGTTTTGGTTGACGTCCGCCATTTTTCATCCAACCCAGTCGCATTCGAACTTACCCCAACCGAATTCGAAATCACACCACCACCACCACCGTCATCTTGACGGTGGTCAACTTTCCAAAAGTGTCCAATCCAGTTCCAATCCGCAGAACCCTGGGACTCTCGGCCAGACAACCTACCATTTCAATTTCCACAACCGTCCAGCCTCGCGATCGAGCCACAGGCGGCCTTCGTCGTATGATCAGGCTATAAAAAGGCCTGAATCGTGGTCAGTTAAGTTTTTCTTTTCCCCTCTCAACGCTTCCATCATTCACATATCATTTAAACAAACTCTAACATATTTTGCTCTTACAATTTTAACTCGTTTCGAACGTTTCTATAAACAACCATGTCTCTAGTCCCACATACCAGCGAATCCGCTTCTCAGCGACTTGCTATTGCTGGTCCGGTTCACCCCGACATCCAGGCTGCCATATCTCAGGCCCTGGCAGCTCAAAACGAAGCACACGAGGCCAAGCTGAAAGCTCGAGACGAGATGATCGACAAACTAATGAACAAGTTAGAAGACGTCACCATCGGAAAGCAAACGAGCTCCAGTGGCACCTCACGCAAAAAGTCTACTCCTGTACACCCCAGCACCAGCACGAGAACTGCTGCTAGCAGGGCTGTATCCAAACCTCCACCGAGTGCTTCCAAGGTCAAAGCGCGTGTTAAGGCAGCTGCAGCCAAACCAACTACGACGCCACCACGTAAACAACCTCATCAAGTGAGACTTGACCAATACCCTCCGGGGTTTGAAAAGACTAAGGTTAGCCCAGATCTTCTCATATCTCACCCTATCTACACACATTGATTGCTTTGGATTGCAGACTGCGTTCGAAACTCACATACGAGTCCTTTGGGGTATGCTGAAGGTCAAGTCCGTCCCACCTGCTGCCGACCCAGCCAGCATGCAATTTTTTGCTGCCTCGTACGATGACCTCGAAGCCGTCAAGAGGGCAATTGACGACGCCGCTACTCCTCAACTTGTGGCGTTGAACCAAATTCAGACCTTGCGCGATGCTACTATGGGCCAAATTCGAGTTGGGCGTGGTATGATTTCGTTGGATCAACAAGCCATTCTGGCCATTCACGGTGCTCTCTCTAAGGCCGGCTTAGCACTCTGGGCGCCCGACTTGACCCAAAGCCACGACGCGCTTTACAACGCAGCCCATTGGTACATTGCTATCTCGACCTTCCGTGAAGTCTCAGTCGGTCCGTCCTACAGATACCTTCAAGTCAATCCGAAGTTCGTGGATGACATCGCAACTCTTACGATACATTACAACCACTACGTCCACTTCCTCTCCCTCGGCAAATTCAAGAGGGAAGTCAAGTCTCCTGGACGCTTGGCTGAGGTCGAGGCTGTGAAAAGCATATCTCAACGTCGTAGAAGGGTCAGTCCTCTTATGTTTTCTTTTTGTTTTCTTTCATCATACTGACTTGATTCAAATTCCAGCTTGCTGAATCCCGCTCGGACTTCGCGAAAAAGCACAACCTTCCTAAGCGGTACAAGCTCATTCTCTCTCAGCCTTATGCTCACAGCGACGATGAGCTCGACTCCGAAAACGGTGTCTACGTCATCAAGACCCTCGGTTATCGTTCCCAAAACGCTAACAAGTTCTTTCGAAGACTCGACTCTATGATGAATCGGGTCAGCAGTTCGTCTGGCAAGGCTCCTCAGAAGGCTCCTCGTTTACTACCGATGGAGCCTCAACCTTCCAGGTTTTTGACTCCCCCTTTTCAACTTCCCCTCCATTATTATAAACCTAGCTGGTTTAACGCATTGACACCATCTCAGAAGGAAGAGACCGTCAAACATAACCAAGTAGCCTTGTTACCAAATGCCACTGAATCTCTCATTCCGCCTCCCAACGCTCACCCAGCCAAAAAAATGAGAGGTCGTGACTTCAACAAAAAATACTACGACCGCCTCAGTTCCCCTTACCAAATCAACTCACCTGCTGGTGACTCCGATTCCGATGACGGTGACGGTCCTCTATATGCTAACCGACCAGTACATGAAGAAGACATGTCTGATTCGATCGACTTGATGGCTCCAAGCGAAGGGAGCGATGCAGAAGATAAGGCCATCAACAAACTTTATTTTACTTCTGGGGACTTTGGCGATCTGTACGAAGAAAGCAAAGAAGATGGAGATTATACCCCCGGTGAAGATGAAGACAGCGAGGATGACGGTGGCCAGAATGGCAAGAACGCCCAAGTCCCTTTTGATACAATTGGTGACCAACCAATGCAAGAGTAGTTCCTGTCTGATTGTACTCGGTTCTTACTTGGGGTTCAATTAGAATTCCCCTCTGATTTTGTGTCTTTTCTCTTCCGCTGTGACTTTGTCTGTCCTTACCGATATGTTCCAATTACGACTCTCTTTAACGTTCCAATTATGTCTCTTTTCTTGAAATCAAATGTGTGTGTATGTGACTTGTTTGCTGAAATATTTACGTGTGCGTGATCTCAATGTGGCTTATGAAACTCTCCCTTATGAAATTCCCCCGTGTATGTTTGAAATCAAACGCCGTTTCCTTTGGTTTGGAAAGATCCATGACACTTGACTGGGTCCACGACCTCGTCATGGGCTCGTTTCAAATGACCCCTGATGGAAAAGGGGTCCTGTAAGCGATGCATTTCCGACGTGGCATGTGAGTAAAGCCCTGATCAAAAAAAGTCTGGTCGACGATATAAGAAAGTGCCTGATGGCGACGAGTTGCTATCCATCACTTCATCCCTTTCTCGCTGTCCCTTGATCATTCAGGTCAACTCAGTTCCAGCCTTTTATGACTTCATCCCACATCTCTTGGGCAACCTTGCCCAATCATATCCTGATTGAAATTTTCAACCAAGTCCCGAATGGCAGAAGGGGATGTAATCGGATGCTACTTACTAGGGTGTGCAAGCATTGGTACGATGTTGGGAACCCGATGTGAGTAATATGTCTAAGATGGCGGGGAAGTATTGAAACTGATGTTTATTTGGGTAGTTTATGGAAGTCCATTCGGGTGAATGGCGTAGTAGCCTTGATCAAATTGAACATGGTGGCAGTGGCCCGTCCTGAATTGGCTGCGTTAAACAGATACCTCTACATCTATGATACAGACTTTTTCTCCCACATCTCGGAAGAATATCGGAACACTTTGTCTGCTAAAGAAAAAGGATGGGCTGCTGAGTTTGTTTGGCCCTCCTTTTATAACTTCAATTGGCTTCCCAACGGATCAGCATATCTCAAGCGTTAATGTGCTACTTTCATCTCATCTCTTGTTATACTCTGGAAACTCTCAGGTTATTCTTTGGTAGAAATCCTTAACCAGCAATTGTAATCCTTTCATTGCACACGCCATACAAGAAACAAATTGAGTGAAACATACAACAGCGCGAGCGCGCAAAACAAACAGAAAAAATCAGAGGTCGATGGGTTTGAGTATCATACCTCCTCTTGCCAAACCAAATGTATGAGGAGGTAATTTGCGATAAGCAACCACCGCTTTCACATCATTAACATTGAGTAAGAAGGTAACATTTACTTTCAGCTCCCCTACAATACATCCCATGAGGTGAAGGTAATACCAAAAGTTCCTTGAAGGGCCATCGAGTGCTTTGGGAAAGACATCGAGGATGGGTTCCACTAGAACCGCCTGTTCAACTCCACCTGATCCATTGTCGAACTGGTAAATTTGCTTAACCATTGCGAACTTCTTTTTTTTCCTGCTATCCCAATACATCACAACGTTATTCGGTTGCTTTGGTGATATCCCAAAGACTTTCCAACCGTTTTGGACTTCGATCTTCATCTTTGGTGTGGCAAACGGCAAAAGCACTTTTACGCCGAAAGGATGAGGATTGTGGTTATGATTTCGCAAATCTGGGACCTTCTTTTTCAAATATTCGAGGAGTTGTTCGTAAAGACTATCATCGATTCAAATAGCAGCTGTCTCGACATTTCGTTTGACTTCTTCTCGTTCCGGCGGTGGATGATCCTTTGTAAACCTTTGCAGAGCACATATCTTCGTAATCATAGTCCCATCCATTTGATCTGAACCGCGACAAGGAACCCAAAAAGAAAGTCAGTCACCAAATCATATCTGACTCTTCTCATCTTGATTGACTCACGTAGTAAATGATTGGTCTTAAATTTTTGTAGTATCCCGTTAATTCTCTCCCCTGCAAACTCTGACACCCCCATCAAAGGGCCCCAGTACGCCATCATGTCAGGAATATGTAGTGCATAGTGATGATTCGGAAGGACCCGGAGGTTGTTGTAGAGTTGAGCCGAGGTTTCGCCGTAGATCTGGTACATTCGTCGGAACTGATCTATCTTCCCTTGCGAAACAGATTTTGACAAGACGACCTATGTGCATTTCACCAAACTCGCGATGTTGCGGACAATAGTGTGTCTATTTGAGGTAGCGGGAAAGTCCTCGACATCCAGAACAAGGAGCTCTAAGATGCACAGTGGGATGACATATAAAAAGAGAGATTTCCATTGACTAGCTTTGAGCTTTCCATGGGACACGTTGCCAAGATTTTTTGGGATTCGTTCGACACCTGATGGCAATATAACATGCTGTAATAATTTCCTAAGATCCATCAGCTCACGTTCCGAAAACAGGCTCTCATCCGAGTCGGCCTTCAGATCAAAATCGTCCTCCCAAGACTCGTTCATACTGGCATTTTTGCTATCGCTTAAATCGCTTTTGCTTAAATCTTCATCTTGAATTTTTTTTGCTTGACGAGAGGGAGTATTACCTTTGCCTTTGAAGCCCCAGCGATGCCTGAAGTGATGTTGCAGGACACCTTCGAGCCAGTCGTGCATGATTCCAAGTGGGACGTGATCAACTGGATGTCGGTAAGGTAAAAGATTGAGCGCCGAATGTCGGATTCCATACTCGGTTACTAAGTCTTTCTTTTGGTTCAAGGTCGGTGCTTTAAGCCATGCCTCAGCCCGAGCCAAGACCTCTTGCTTCGTTTTTTTCTTTCCAAGGAAAAGATCGACTCTTTCATTCGAGGTGCAGTGACACCATGAACAGAACTGCGTGGCCGAGTGCGACGCATAACCAGCACATTTGTGAACTGCAACGATGTTGCCAATGATCGCCAGGAGTCGAGCTTGGACTACGCGGCCTTCGGGGAAGTTATGGGTCTTGATGGTCACCCCGTCCTCCAGAATTAATAACTCGTCTATTAAGGGCTTCATCACATGTTCGATTGTAGTCATGTCGGGTTCGTGAGGTCCAGGGATGATTCCAGCGACACAAGTATTTTCCACCAGGTTTTGTATTAACGGAGGAAGGGAGGGAGAAGTTAAAGCAATAACGCCCACAGATTCCTTTTTGCCAGCGATCTTGTTCCCACGCGGGTTAAACCAGTTGATGTAGAGATTGAAGACAATATGGAGTGATGTCGGATCAGTAAGGTCTGAGCGAGGCTGTAAGGATTTCCAAGCCGGTGTTTGCTGGATATCGTACCATTCTTCAGTGGAACTCATGGTGATCTCTTTGGCCCATATCTCAAAACTATCTTCTATGCCTGGCTTACTGAGAAACCATGTCAGCCAAGATACGACTGATTGAGTTGTATATATACACTTGGGAATGTCAGCGTTGACTAGATGTTGCGCTTTGATTCGAGAAGGCTTCTTTTGATAAAGTCCGTTATCGCGGATTGGGCTGTAATTCGTAGTTTCTGTGAAAAGAGGTTGATTGCATGGATCTGATTTGAAAGTTGCCTTGTAAGTACAATGCGACGGGCACAGACGCGTAGGATAGATCGTGTAGCAAGTTCGGCAGCAGATGCTTTTGGTGAGTTGGGGAGAAACGTCAAGTTGGTTCATTGCCGTTCGGATATCCTTAGGTATTATCTTGGAGACGTTCGTTTTGGCTGAAAGATTTCGAGAATCCTTGATGATCTGTACCACGTAGTCCCGTGCTGTTCGACAGTTCTCACGACTGACTCCACAGTGCAAGTGAAGCCAGACCAAGAAGATCACAACAGAGCCTATCACTACACAAAATATAATATTTTCTGGGCAGAAAATTAAATTATTGATACACAAAAATATTGAGAGGCCAGGAGAAGGGCAAAAAATGAATAAAAATATGCATCTTGTTCCCTGCGTTGAGAACTTCACTCTGCATATTTTTCCGTATTTTTACAGTCCATATTGATAAGTGTACTAACAATAAACCTTCATAATCATCCAATTACAACCTGTAACAAGCACTGAAATTTGGCTCATTAGTGTTTAAAGAAACTTTTGATTTCTGAAAACACCTATAACTTTGTCAAATCTGCCTCAAAACACTCGATTTTAAGTGCATTAGAAAGCTGAACTCCACCTCTCGAACTTTCATAAGATCAAGAACTATGTAGCTAGTATGACAATCATTCTATGGATCTGTATGTACAAATGTATAAAAAAGATGATATCTTTTTAGCAAACCAGCATGCTGT